AATTAAGTGCTAGCCAGATTCCTGGATTAAGAGAGATCTAACAACCCATCAATCTTACCACTCCCAGTTGGAGCTGCTGTCACGGAAGGTGTTAACAAGGCCCTAACTGAGACTTGGACAATTCGAAATTTATATCTCGAGGCCATAAACAGGCCCAACAGGCATAATGCATAATTGCCATTTCATTCAGCTTACGAGGTCATCATCGGCGGGACAATGCGAATAAGTGTGACAGGGGCAATTACAGCCTGATCCTGATGTCTCCGATGTCAACACAACAGAGCTCGAAGACATGGCAGGCAATTCAAGGATATCGCACAGAAGCCAAGGCCACAGGCGACGCGTGACGCATTGGGAAAATATTTGTACAGAAACATTGAGGCTGTATGAAAAGGAGCACAGCGTCTCGGCATCCTTGACTTTGATTGGTGCCGATCCAAGGACGAAAGGCTATGAGAGCTGACCTCGAGAGGAGTCGTCGGTGGGCCTCTGCCTGAAGGTCATCGAGTTAAGACGTCCTGTCCTGGCTTTCTCCTCGTTCCAAAGACAGAAGATTACTTCATCTAGCCTTAGACATCTGGCAAATTCATCAAGACGATTTCCCCAGCACAGAGTTAACGATTCGATTCGATTCGATCTGTGTGCAGTTTGATTGTTAACTCAAACAAAATTTTGAATAATTCTCGAGCATCGCCACTAATTAGCCGCCGATTGAGGCAATCAAATTGATTGCCCGCGATCCGCGCCAAAGAAAACCTCACGCTGGGATCTCCGGACCCATGTTAGACGGATTGACGCTGATACTATATATAGACGGTGTATCGGAATAGTACGGGGAATTCACACCGATCGCGAGTTGTTTGTTTTGTTTGTTGATAATTTTTCTCGGCCCTTTACTATTTTATACGCAGCGGGCCGTCGCCTGTTCCACTCTGATAATGAGTGCGATCTACTCGATTGTTTTTATCACCCCTTCCCCGACATTATGGCAATCGGGTATATAATGAGAGATGCCCCCCGGAGGAGATCAGCAGCAACTTCAAAGGAACTCCAACCCCAGCAGGTGACCCTCTCGTAGCTCAACTCAAGCTAGGAAAACAAACAAATCCCGGGACTAACGGGCACTGGAGCATCCTAATGGGATGTCTTATGTAACGCACTATGAGTGGGCAGGTGTGGTATTGGGCCATTTTCAACAGGCCTTTGAAGTTCCAAATATTAATGAGCCACGAGCAGCAGGTTCGCCAATCGATAAAACCATAAAATAAAACAATACTCAATTTGTGGGGTAAACACTTTTCGATTTTACTTTTTACTTCGGTTTCCAGTCGCATTTTAAGAAGTAATTTTTAATCAGTTTAAGTTTTAGGAAGCACCTTACCCTAACTATGGATAAGCAGGCTTAAATGAATGGAAATTAGGATCTAAGTCACCGGTGCCCAACGGCTGTGCTCTGAGTGTCCTTTTGTTTTTGTAAATCCTTGCTGCATATGGACTTGATCGCCCTATAAGCTTTTAGCGCTTGCGATGCTCCTCCACTAACCATTTTTCTTTTTCCTCTTTCCTCTTCATTCCGTCGCTAACTGTTCTTGTTTCTTTCTGGATCATCTTCGAACTCCTTGCTATTCCACTATCTATTTTTGGGTTTCCTCTTACCCCTTCATTCCGTCGCTAACTGTTCTTAGTTGTTCCTGGTTCAGCTTCGAAAACTTACACTGGAATTAATTCTTTATCTTTTCTGTGTGCACTTTCGAGTTTATTTCGCAGTGGACTATTTGGCGAGCCAGTAAAAGGCATATTTCTTTCTCTCAGTGCACAGCTGCAAACCAACACAAAAGCGTCACTAAATAAGTGCACGATTTCTTATATTTGTGTTAGTAAATGCTCAGCCGTAAGAAAAATTTGAGCACCCCTGCCAAAAAGTGTGAACTTATTTAAATTAAAAGTTATTTTAAGCTTCGTTTCTTATTTTCTTATGGAATATTACCTCTTCCGTACAGATACTTCCGAAACAAAACCATTAATAATAGCAAGGTGATGGACTGCATATTTTTGCAAAATAGCTACAGTTTAGTTTACTAATGATGTTGGTCACTCTGCTATCGCTGACCAACGGCAGCTGATAATGCAGTCTCTTGGGAAGATAATGATGCGATTGACTGCAACGGCAGCCAAAAAGTGTATCTGAGGGCTGGGAATTAACAGATTCGCCTCCTCCAGGCGCGTGCCTGTTCCACCTTTCCGTGGCATTTATCAAAAGTCCGCCGGGCCGACCCACCGAACTGCTGGCTATATGGCAGATATCTATATAGATGGCAATCTGACTGGGCTAACCCTCATGGAAGTGCCAAAAATGTGCAACGCCGTCAGCGGAAGAAAGGCAGGAAGGATGAACTGAGCCGGGGAGGGGTGCTGGAACTTGTAAGGATACAAAGGACAAGGGACATGCAGCCAGCTACTCGGGCACAATGGGATGGTCCCGATTCCCTGTCAAGGTAATTTATTAATTCGACAATAAAAACGCACGAATTCTTGGGCTCAGCCCTGCCCTGGGTTGGATTCGGTTTGGGATTTGGAAGCGAGTTGGGGTGTGTTGTGGTCGGACACTCGCATGTGGGCCTTACAACTCAATTAAAGTTGCCCGGGTCCTGGTCGCCGAGCCTGGTGCACTGTTTCTTTCGGGATCCGGGGTGAGCTGAGTATTTTATGGCCATGTGTTGGATTCGGGCTAATCTCGATTGAGGCATCGGTGGCAGCCAATTGGCCGTAAGTGAAAAGTTAAGTGGCTTTTAGTCACTGAAACCGCCGATGAAAATCAATAAAAATTAAATGATTGGGTAAGGAATAAACCTAAAAATGTATATTTATAATTTATCATTATGTTACCCGTAAAGAGTTAGGAGTTATTCATAATAATGTTCGTTAAATTAAAATGCCGAATATATTAATGAAAGTTCCAATGCTTTTGCCCAGGAAAATGTAAGCTACTGATTTTAAAATATACAAAAATAAATTGTTTTCTTCAAAAATAGTTTTAAGTAATCTTAGAAGAGAAAATAATATATATAATACATATATATATATATATATATAATATATATATATATAAGTATGTAAAAATATAAAAATTATTTATCATCAAACAAGGATGGCTATGTTTTAGACAAAACGAGAACGAAAAAGTCCATCCTTTCTTAGTAACCTGCAACTATTTCTTTGAAAATATTCTTTTTACTACCATACACTTATTTCTATATATATACCTATATATCCATTTGTACACTATATATCCCAATCCATAACGCTCTCTGATTGTTAAATTTACTCTAAAACCAAAAAGGCGGTTCACATTCCCTGGCTATACTATATAGCAGTCACAGGACATCGGGGAAAAGCGAACTGCAGTCTGGCGGACTCTCTTCTGTCAAACTGAAAAACGCCATAAATTTTGTGCAACAATGGAAGCTGCCAGCGGTCGGAGATGGGGTACGGGTTGTTCGGGGAGTGGACTGGGGGTGGGGGTAGGATATTCGCACATGCAGAAACGGCACACATATGTCAGGACTATATCGATATGTTAGGGGTGTCCTACGGGGGTGGCTGATAGTATTTTACCCATCCCAGCATAAGCCGATCGGAAAGTCATGTAAACACAAAAAGTGATTGTTTTTTTGGAAGTCAATTTAGCTGAGCGGATTTTGGGTTCTTTGTAAATAAGATATAGAGTAGGAAGTTTAGTTTTGCCTAAAGTCCCTTGGAAAGGGTTTAGATGGTGGTGGAGAAAAAAACATGATTTTATTTGGAAAATATATATTTTTCAATGTGAAAATGTGACTGAAAAATACAAAGTACGGAAGTATCACTAAAAAAGTAAAAACAAGTTTTTAAAAATGGAATTTTATTGGTAAGAAGTTGGATGTATAACTTTTCTTAGAAAATGTGGATAGGGTCTTAAAAACTCATTAATTTTTCATAAAATTAAACGCTTTGCCTTTGTTTAATGTTGACATAACTTTTGTTTAACGTTTTCTTTTCAAGTACAAATGTTGTAAAAATAAACAAGTAATAAAAATATAACAGAAATGAGCAAATGATAGTTCTGGAATGAGAAAATCAGTACCTTTTTCCAATACATTTATGTTTACAAATAAATAAACAAATTTTGAATGTTTGATCTAGCAGAAGTGTCAGATTTTTTAGCAGTCATGTTGGCCCATCTCCTTTCTGGTCTGTGGGCAAATACCAGGCCCAGGAGTGAGTTTTAAGATCGTGAGTTGCGCACTTGCCAGGCCACGAGGACAAACAAAAAGCGCAAACACGCGACCCTCGGCCACGCGCAATCGCAGTCCCTCGGATCGGACGTAATGTTATCCTTTGGCCGCCCAGTGCCGCGAAATGGATTCGGAGGGAAAGGGCAGCGGATTCCGGGAACAACTGGCAGCCAGTCATCGTAGTAGTAGACGTCGATGTTGGCCGGGTTGGCAAAAATCCAGAGAAATTTTTAGGGAATCATAAACGAGCCGGGGAAAAAGCCTCTATGCCGAAGGAACAGCAACAGCAACAGCAACAGTTTAGAATTTCTTTTTATGTCTTTATGATTATTGCAATTAGAGGGAGATCGGATGCTCTCGCTCTGCGCACCTCATAGGTAGGCACCTCATGGCCGTAATTACTGCAGCAGCGCCTCAAGGTCGCCAAGGAGGGGAAGTGCGCGGGCGGATAACTCGCGATGATAATGGGCGCGATGGGTAGGTAATAAGCAGCACAGCAGGTAGGCTCCGTACGGATAAAGTTGCCAGGACCTCGGATAACTTCCCCTCGCCGTCTCGGCAAGGACATTTCCCCGGAGGGGTGGCTGGCCGAACAGCAGGCGGCAAAGTGTCATGCGCAGGGATATTTATGCGCTATAACGTCGAGCGTGTGCCGAGAGCCCTCTGCTTTTGCTATATATGCAGGATCTGCCGCAGGACTAGCTCATTCGCAAACTCACCATCGTTGCGTGCACATCGCAGAGTTAGAAAGTAAATCTAGTAATACATACACATATCCGAGATGGCCACCACCAACAGCCAGAGCCACTACAGCTACACCGACAACATGAACATGTACAACATGTACCACCCCCACAGCCTGCCACCCACCTACTACGACAACTCCGGCAGCAATAGCTACTACCAAAACAGTTCCAGCTACCAGAGCTATCAGGGCTACTATCCCCAGGAGAGTTACTCGGAGGGCTGCTACTACTACAACCAGGATCAGGTCACCACCAACCAGACTGTCCAGCCCGCCACCCCACCACCCAAGGCTGCCAAGCGCAAGGCCGAAGAAGATGCTGCCTCCATCATCGCCGCCGTCGAAGAGAGACCCAGCACCCTGAGGGCCCTGCTCACCAACCCCGTGAAGAAACTGAAGTACACCCCCGACTACTTCTACACCACCGTCGAGCAGGTGAAGAAGGCCCCCGCCGTATCCACCAAGGTCACCGCCAGTCCTGCCCCCAGTTACGAGCAAGAATACGTGACCGTGCCCACGCCCAGCGCCTCCGAGGATGTCGACTACCTGGACGTCTACTCGCCACAGTCGCAGTCGCAGAAAATGAAGAATGGCGACTTTGCCACCCCGCCACCAACCACGCCCACCTCCCTGCCTCCAGTCGAGGGCATCAGCACACCACCCCAATCGCCGGGGGAGAAGTCCTCGTCAGCCGTCAGCCAGGAGATCAATCATCGAATTGTGACAGCCCCGAACGGAGCCGGCGATTTCAATTGGTCGCACATCGAGGAGACTTTGACATCAGGTAGGCATCGCACAACAACCCCTAAAACATAGTGTGGTTAGAAATATTAAAAATATATTCGTTTATATTTTGATTATTTCTTAAAAAACAAAAGTAATTTATCATAAATCATGAACTAACCCAACTCTATCCTTATTCTTGCTTACAGATTGCAAAGACTCGAAACGCACTCGCCAGACCTACACCCGCTACCAGACCCTGGAGCTGGAGAAGGAGTTTCACTTCAATAGGTACATCACCCGGCGTCGTCGCATCGACATCGCCAATGCCTTGAGCCTGAGTGAAAGGCAGATCAAGATCTGGTTCCAGAACCGACGCATGAAGTCCAAGAAGGACCGCACACTGGAGAGCTCCCCGGAGCACTGTGGTGCCGGTTACTCATCGCTGCTGCCGCCACTGGAGGCCACAACCACCGGCACCACTGGGGTACCATCAGTGCCGATGTACCACCACCAAGCAACCGCCGCCTATCCCGCTTACAACCACAGCCACAGTCACAGCCATAGCCACGGTTATGGCCTGCTCAATGATTACCCTCAGCAGCAGCAGCAGCAGAGCCTCCATCAGCAGTATGAGGCCTACCCGCAGCAGTACCAGCAGCAGTGCAGCTACCAGCAGCATCCGCAGGACCTGTACCATCTGCCTTGAAGTGGTCCTGCCTGCGTTCGCTCCTCAGTTCCTACGTTAGAGCGGAACCGAAGTCCGTACAGCCGCAAACCGAAGCGCACTTCTCTCGACCATTTGTAGGTGACACGCAAATGGCAAAAGCCGAGAACGAAGCTGCGACGCGATGAGTCGCACAGTAGAGGGCGCACTCCCTATGGTGCCCAGGACATTTTGGGCACAAGGACCAGTGCGCATGTGCAAGAAGAGTGAGGCAGGAAGAGGAAAAGGATCCTTGCTGCGAGCGGAACCCAGTGGCTGGCCATGATGGGTTCTCAGCGATCGATTAGCTGCGGCCAAACACAAACCCAAAACACTCAGCTGGGAGGCTGATAATGGCCAAAAGACTTGGAGACTGACACGTGTTTTTGTACAGTTAGTTAAGTTTTTAAATATATAAGATTATTATTTATTTAAATACAAATCAATCGAATTTAAACTAATCAAATTGAGTATTCATTGGGGGAAATTTGTTAATCAGGGGGATTTTTTGATTTAAAAAAACTGTGTTTTTAGAGGCAATTAAGACTTCCGATACCTGCATTCGATTCAGGTAACACTCTTCTCCTCCACGGAACGAAAAACGTATAAAAATGTACCTTATACATTTTTTTATGATTATAAAATATGTTGGGATGATTATCTACTTTTGGACAGATAAAATGTACCTGACAGGAAAAGGGGTGAGACTTCCATAAATCAATATGTAAGTTGACAAGATTTTTTGACTAGAAAAGTTTTAAGATTGTACTGATGTACAGAGAGAAGTTTGTCTTAAACTCTATGGATATTGGGATCAGCCTTGATAGTACTAATAGATATATTATTTAAAGTTTTAACATAATTAAAGAACTTATTCGGTAAAAAAGAGTGGTTTATATGTACCTGCCTTAAGTTTTTACTACTTTACTAGAATATATATCCTCACTCTATAACTGTGGAGCACTGACTCATTTTGAATATATTTTTGGAACTTATCTACATATATTATTTCGAGTTACCTTTCGATTTATTTGTGATAAATTTCATTCTTTGATCGCTGCAACCACCCCACATATTTTAGCCCAAGTCATACGAAAAGCAAACGATTTAATGTTGAGCACGAATCGTGCAAATTCGAGCAGCTGCATTTTCTCGCCTAGATCCCCCTCATTCCCTACCCACTGCTATCTCCCGGATTTTCTATAAAATTCACTCTTTTCGCCAGAGAAAATGTCACATTTTGGTCGGTCGTCGGGGTGCATCTACCACCGCATCCCCTGCTCCTTCCTCCCCTCGGCCGCTGTGCACTCTTCCCTTGAAGTGAGACATTGATTGGTCATTTTTCATTGCTCGCCCGTGACAGTTATGGGTAACGCAACGCAAAGAAAAGCCGGATCCCGATTCGGAATCGGAATCAAAGCCAGCGGCAAAGGGAGCATGTGCAGTTGCGTTTTCCGAGGGGACATTTATCCGACTCATTAGGTAAAAGTGGACAGTGGGTGAGCAAGGAGCAGCATCTATGGGCCATTGGGCAGAGTTAGGTGCGAAATTTGGTCAGTTTAGTGGTGAAATCTTTCTAATCTTTCGATTTAGAATTAAAAAATGACTAGGCCTATCACTTCGAACAATTAAATTTTATAATTTGTTTTTAAATTATTATTTTCTATAGCTAAAATATCTAATCCAATCCATTCTTTAAGTGTATTTCTCCAGAATTACCTTTTGGAATAACTAAATGCTTAATACACTTTCAACAAAGAAGGATCTTGTATCTGCGCCTGACTTTGTAAGTCGCAAGCTCTGTTTTAGAAAACACTCCAGTTTTGAGACTGAAACCAAAAAACCAATAAAAAGTGTACAGGGTAACTCTCAAACTTTAAACTACAAAAAGCTTGCTGCTTGTAAAAAAAAGAAGTTCCCAGGAAAGATTCAATCAAAAAGGAAACAATCAAAAATGTTTGTTTAATGATAGTTACAAGAATACTAAATACAAATTGTAGTAATAAATTGAAAGTTTTGATAAAAATATTCCCTTGCACTTAGTCCTTAATGACGTTTACAAGTTTACCTAGTTGTACAGCCTAAGCAAACCAAAAGTCAATGCCGTTTTTTTCTTTGGCCAACATTAGGCAAGCTGATATTAAAGGTCCTTGAACATTCCATAAACTCATACATCCTTTCTTAGCCCTTTAGTCAACATTAAGCAAGGATTTTTACGGTTTCCCAAGAGTCAACATTCCTTTTTTAAAAGTTCCTTAGAATTTCAAGCAACAGTAAAAGATTTACGTGTAAATTGCGAAAGAGTTACGTTAACTCTTCCCGAGTCCTTCTGCGAAACGAAGCCTTTTTTATCCTTTTTATTCGCATTTCGCTTTATTAGAGAGCCGCGGAGTCGGTTCTTAACTCATTCGCGAACCATAAAACCCGAGATTCGCGGAAGGAGTCGTCGTTGTGGGCGGAATCCTTTGCAAAACCCGGCCCAGTCAAGGCTGCAAAGTCAATCCTTTAGCATAATCCTTTAAATAGCCAAAATAAAGCCCGCCTTTGTCAAAACAAAGCGCTTCGCTCGCAGAATTCGCATTTGCGAATGGGTGTTGCCATTGTGTCCACTTAGCCGGCAGGTACCGCCTCCTCCCGATCCTCGGGTTCTGGTTCTCGTTCTGAAGATTCCCTGGCCTGCATCCCTATCCCTTCCACCAGCCTCAACCATAACGATCGTAAAGTTATCCTTTCGCAAACACGAGCACACGGTTACCTCCTTAAGCTGGCGAAGGAGTTACAAAGTCATAAAAACAAAACACCTTTGTCCGCGCAGCATTGTCGGTTGGCGAATTATCCTTTCTGTCGCCGCTGCCGAATCCTTAATCCGCCGTGTGTTTACAGTCATTTAGAGGGAGATGGACTGGCAAAATAGACAGAGAGGTGAGGAGATTCGCAAATGACTCGACCCTGGCGAAAGGGGAAGAAGACGAAGGGCCGGTATCGGAATGCCAAGGGTCTCGCTGGTTAAGCCTTTAGCTGGAAGGGATTAAATTACATTATCCTTATGTTTAAGATAAACACGGAGCGTCTAATCCAAAACATTGGATCAAGCATGATATTCGAATTAACTCGGTCAGGAAATCTTTGGTTTTAAATTTAGGGGGAAGTTGATATACCTTTTAAAATTGCATACAGATACCTGGGTTTCAAATTTTATTACATGGCAATATCATCCGGTTTGGCTTTAATGCAGTTTTGATGCTAATCTTTTCTTTATTTGGTGTTTAAATGCAGTTGACCAGAGTACAAAATTCAGAATAGTGTTCATAAATATTAATAAATAGCGGTATGAAAAGAATTAAGTTGTCAGCTAATTCGAGAAAGCACTTAATACTGGAATGTATTACATATAAATCAGTTGTCAGCTAACACATAAGGAACGATTTTTTACCTATTTATTTATATATTTTCTTTTTGGGGGGAATAATAATAATCTTTTCATTTAGCTATAGCTACTAGGCCATAAGCAGGCAAAGGGCTTACATTGAATTGGCTTATATTAAGGACTACTTACATATCTGGGTTTTCTGAATTTATGGGATGGTTTTTTATATACTTTACTCGTAAAATAAAATGATATATATGGTTCGTTGAAAAGTATGTTACAGGTAGGAGGAAGCGTTTCAGAACCTATAAAGTATATTCTGGATCAGTATCAATAGCGAAGTCGATTAAGCCGTGGTTATCCGTCCATCTGTCCGTATGAACGCTGAGATCTCAGGAACTAGTCGCTGCACTCAACTAAAGCGTTTCTTTATGTTTTTTTTATGCCTTTTAGGAAGGATGGACGTTAATCATATTTCGGTCGAAGAAATCGCCTCATTTGTAAAAGAAAGTGAAAGACCTTTTTTAATGTTTATTGAAAGTTCTAAGAAAAAAATTGAGTAAACTACCAACTCTGTTAAATTTCACGTTTTTGGTTAACGACACATAAATTTAAGTACAAAACTTACTTCAACAACAATACATATTACATATTTAACAACTTAATACATTCCGCCTTTAAATGTCAATTTAAACCATCATAAATATAGTAAAATTTGTAAAAATTTATAGGCAAACCCTCACCCTTACCTTTCTCACATAATTTGCCACATTGTAATGGAGTATATGATTATGAATATGTTAATTAATTCTGTCATGAAGTAGGTACCCTCTTGATGGCAGGGGTAGGTAGTAACCACAAACACTTGAAAATCTCTGTGAAATCATGCTCCTGTCATGTTATCACCGAACATGAGATGATAATCGATCGAATCATAATGATAAACCCAAACGACTTCGACAAGTCATCGCGGAGGTCAGCACTTCTGGTGCGGGCGCACCCTTTGTTGTGATGGCCATGTATTTATGGCGCTCAAAAGGCAATTAATTGTGACCCAAATCAACAATTTCCGAATGGCTGGCAATATCAACACGGCAGCCCGATCTAATGGCCCGGCAAATGCCACCGATCTCCACGGACCAAGACGTAGGAATAGGAATGGATATACTATGTATGTGGTGCACGTAGTGGGGCTGGGAATGGGAATGGTAATGAGATCGAGATCGGCATGGCCTGGTATGCTGCATGAGTTATGGCCACCACGGTAAGATGTCGCCCCAAATGCTTCATTTCTATGCACACTTCAAGAAATTTTAGTTTTTTATAAAAATCTTAATAGCCTTTTTTGCTCCAACAGTAAATTTTTATCAAACCTTTTTGATATGTAAACCCATTTGATTTTATGTATGTTAAATTTACAATGAAAGGAAATATCTTTTTGTAAGAATATGAATAAGTTTTCCTCAGTGCACCAAGTTAGTTCATGTTGCTTGTACTTTCCGAGGAATCTCCAAGCCAAACTGCGATGAAATCAGCGCCAAAACCAAAACTAAAACCAAAACTAAAACAAACCTGATCGTCCGCCAGCGGCTAGATCAGTGCTGAACCCTGCCCCAGCCAGAGGTTAACATCAATATGGTAATAAGCCA